GTTTATGTCGCCATACAGGTCCTTCGAACCGACAACTAACCAGCCAGCCACTGTAGTCGTAGTCGTTGTCTGTCATTGGTATTTCCCCAAATATACATTAAAACGTTTCATTTTCATTGTTGATGTCTGTTGTTGTATTGTCAAACAGGACTTTTGTGTTGGGCTTCCGTACCAGCATGACGTATACATACTACCAGGCAAAAGGCCTAAAGCTGTCATAAAAACATACAATCGCACATAGGACGACATATAGACACACACAGAAAAGAGGCGTCACAAATGTACGACGTAATACTACTGTGACATGTCATAGTGGCGTCTTTCTATTGGGTGTTTTGAATGTTTGCTTTGGAAAACACTGAGAAAAATTGAAAAGACGGACAATTTCGTCTAAAAAAAAAACAACTGAAATTTTTAATAAACGACACGGACACGGTCATATTTTTGGACAACGAGGGGGTTGTCCTTATTGACGACACGAAGTTCGTTTTTATAGATGACACGGAGGTCGTTTTTATAGACGACTAGCTGCGCTTCGCTATCCCTTTTGATTTTATATGCATTCAAAATTTTATTTAAGAATAAATGTTGGATAAAAAAAAAAACAAATATAAAAATGAAAAAAAAAATATTGCACTACTTTAATGCGTTAATGTACAAACCCATTAGAAAAGCAGTAACATGGCATGCATACACGAAGGTTTTGTCCTTTGGATTTATTTATTTCATAGCAAATACCAAGCGTGCAGGAAACTGCAATTTTTTGAAGTTGAGTGGCATTTCTATTCCAATTAGTGAATTCGAGGTAGCAACATACTTCCCCGTAATAAGCGTATTTCAAATAAATTGTTGTGTTGTTTTTTAGTGTTAGCCGAAGGCGTTGTGGGTTAATGGTTCTTATTAAAATCATATTCCAATCTGATCCGATTTAAATATAATTTTAAAAAATTTACTTTTACACTAAATTCCGCCACAACTTTCATATTTCATTGAAATTGGTGCGTCAAATATGTGAGCTATATCCAAATGTGAAACGATTTTAATATAATTTTACTAATTTAATTTCTAATCAAAATCCCGTCACATATTCCACATTTTTTTGGAATCGAACATACATATCGTGTATGGTGCATAAAATACATGAAATCGGTCGAAAATATGTATGAGAGAAATCGGCTGAAGATATATATGGGAGCTATATCCAAATCTGAACCGATTTTAATATAATTTGGCAAATGTATATTCGTTTTAATTTCCGTTACACATTCCAAATTTCATGGAAATTAGAGATACATAGCGTTTTTGGTGCATCAAATACATGAAATCGGTCGAAAATATATATGGAAGCTATATCCCCATCTGAACCGATTTCAATATAATTTGGCAAATTTATTTTTTAGATAAAATCCATCACACGTTTCAAATTTCATTGAAATTTGGTATACATAACGTGTTTGGTGCATCAAATGCTTGAAATCGGTCGAAAATATATATTGGAGCTATATCCAAATCTGAACCGATTTCAAGATAATTTGGCAAATTTATTTTTTAGATAAAATCCATCACACGTTTCACCTTTTTGGTGCATCAAATGCTTGAAATCGGTCGAAAATATATATGGGAGCTATATCCAAATCTGAACCGATTTCAATATAATTTGTCAAATTTATTTTTGTTCCAAATTCCGTTACGCATTCCGAATTTGGAGACTGTATCTGTAATCGATCAAAAGATATGTGCCTACAAAATCTAAATTTTTGGGAGGTACCACCGATTCTGATGCTATATATCCACTTCCAAGTGTAATTTCAAAAATGTATATAGCCTATGTTACTTTCAGGCGATGTTGCAGTATACATGCAAATTTTCAGGAAAATCTGTTCAGCGGTTTTCGAGTCCATAAAAACAAACATACAAACATTTTCCTCTTTTATAGATATAGAAGATACGGAGGTCGTCCTTATAGACGATTCGGAGTTCGTCCTTATAGACGACACGGAGGTCATCTTCAAAGACACGGAGGTAATATTTATAGACCACGAGGTAATATTTATAATCGACTAATATTGGACTTAATAGTTCGTATTTAAATATGGTTGCAAAAATACGGAGACAGCAACAGCGACTAGTTGAATAATCTTTTTCCAGCGTGTATAAAGGAGAAATTATACATGCATGTCCATGACATCAGCCTTAGGTGACAAAGCTTTCACATCTTTTCGACATTTACATATACGTACGTATGTGGCTATGTCTGTCTATTGGGCTTTCTCTATCCGTATCTGTTTGCATCTGTCCCATTTATAGCTCTTTATGATGTTTTGCATAATGGTTTGCCAAAAGCTTAGAGCTCTAGCCTGGCCGATGTAGAGACACTGGTCAAATATGCCAAAACATTGATGAGGCTGATGTTGACGATGAGTTCAAAAGTTCTATGTTTATACAAATATACATATCTATGTATAACAAATACACATACCAAACATGTGTTTGTGTTGGGTGCGAGTTCGATGAAAATCTAAACATGTAGAACATTTTCAAACAATACTGACGTTTATCTAACAACAGTATTGACACACATTTTAGTCTAGATGGGTGCCTTAAATGCCTCTTGGAAATGTGTGTATGTGTGCGTATATGAATACCATAGGATTTATGTGTGTGTGAATGCAGGTCGGTAAAGAGGGTTAGAGGTTATATTCGGGTCGATTTATAAATGTTCAAAATAGAAAATCGTTGCAAATGACATTTAGATAATCAAACATTGTCACACCAGGATAGCACTTAGGATCATTTTGAATAATAATGACGTCAAATTGCTGTGCATAACGCCAGAAGAAAAAAACATGCAAAACAAAATATGTATGTTAATGGCTTTATAATGATAGGGAAACATAGGAGTAATATTAAATATGGGAAATTGTATAGTTTTCTCCATGTAATAGGGTTTATGTCAATTTTAATATTTGGTTTGTATTTCGAATTGGCACAAATATTTAGGTAGAACGCAATTTTTGCTATTAACGCATCAGAAATGCTTAGTTTGTGAAACGTCCTTATTATTTAGTCCCTTTTAAGAACTAAGGCGTTAATAGTTCTATGTATTTCTTACAAAAAAATCAAAAGATGGGTCCATATGTAAGTAGTCTAATATCGGGATCAAAAAGGGTAAAACTTAGTCGAAGATATGTAGTCCCATATTTCTTAATATTCGAGTAATAATCCCAAAATGAAACTGTAGCAACTACCTCCATTTGCCCTATATCAATGGTCCTATATATAGTCAACACAAAATGGTACAACATCGTGGCGCAAAAGTAATCCTATCAGAAAATGCTATAAATTTTACGATTGGCCCTTAATGTGAGTTCTGTTTTGAAATTTTTGTGGTAAACACATGCAAAATACACGTTAATAAACAATGTTACGCTACATTGCTCCAGAACGTGGTATATTGGTGACTATTTATTTGTGTTATTTCGTCGCAGATTTCCTGGCCGTCCAACGCCTACACTGCGTCGTTTAGCCGCTCGTCCCGAAGAGACTGGCACAAAAAAGATGCTGCTCGGCGTGGCATACTCTTTCTGCATAGAATATTGGCGCTGTAGCAATACACAAATGAAGATATAGACAACGAAATGCTCTCACCGTTTATCTTCGAAAAAATCGGATCAGCAGATGTCGTCTATATCGATGAAGAAGATGATGATTTTTCATGGAAAAAATTGGAAAATATATCAAAATTTGTGCTTCTGGTGTACTGAAAATCCGCGTGTGACCCACGAAGAGCCATTGCACCCTCTCAAAGTCAGTGTATGGTGTAATGTTTTCGCTAGAGTAGTTATCGAACCTTTTTCCTTCGAAAATGATGTGGGTCATACGGTTCCTATGAATAGTTAGCGCTACAAAGCAATGGTCAACCACTTCTTTTTGCCGCAACTTGATGAGTTGGGATTAGAAAACATGTGGATCCAACAGGACGGTGCAACGGCACACACTACACGTGCCACATTCGATATGCTGAAGTATGCATTTCCCAGGCTAATCTCTTGGCGATTTAGACTGGCCAGCAAGATCGCCTGATTCGACCGCTCCAGACTTCTCTTAAAGACAATATCCGTCAAGAATGTGAGGACCTATCGCCGGAAGTTTTGGCCTAAGTGATGGAAAATGCCACAAGAAGGGTTCAAATGCCAACAAAGTGTGTCTAGGCCATTTACATGACATCATGTTCTCGACATAATGTAAAAAATAAAACTAAAAGGCCAAATAAAAATAATCCACAAGAAGAACCAACGTTTTTCTTTTTTTTAATTACAGCCAAGAACCATCGGAAGTTTACTTTTGTGCCCCTTGTATATAGAACTATAACTTGAATCAAGGAACAAAAATCTTCGTTTAAAACGTTTTGATCAATGTATTCCCATATATCTAAATCTCTGTAATCATTCGAAAAATATTCAATTGAATCGCCTATTCATGTACCCAATTCCCAGGTACCCTATTCCCATGTACCCAATTCCCATGTACCCAATTCCACCAATTTCAGGTAAGGAAGTTATGCTATATAGTGGTAGTCCCATATATATTACAATCCAAATAATCATCCTAAAAATATGTAAAAAAAACTGTTAAATGTTTCCATAATTTATTCATTTGTCCATAATCATACACATAGTCGTACATTTTCCAAGATCATGGAGCGCAAGCCTTAGCTTGGGGAAATTTGCTAAATAGAATAGGTCAGCTATTTTTTACAATTCAAATATTTCTCCGAAAAAATGATTATAAATGTTATAGTTTCAATTGCCTATCCATTTGTCAATAGACATCGCTATATAGTCGATATACATAGTACAATATCAAAAGCGTAAATTTTAGCTTAAGAAATTCATTTAAACAACAGTAGTCCAGTATTTATATCAATATCAATAGATGTCGCCATATGTATATAGCGACAAAAATAATAATATTTCAATGATCTTTTAATCTGTTCTTACCTTAATCTGTAGCGAATGTTTTTCTATTATTCATTGTGTGAAGTTTCTGCAAGATAATAAAAATAATCAAATTTTAATTAATATTTTTTTTAAGAAATTGCAAAGGCAACACCAAATACCAACATAAAATAACTCGCTAAAATTGTCAAATACCGAATATCGGGAAGAACCGTTATATGGGGCCATACAAGAGCATGGGCCTGTTTGGGCAATTTTCTATCTATCTTCAAAAATCAAATTTTAAACAAAAAGTGTGACGAAGATTGTGATTTACAGTTATATGGGTATACAAGATGAGATGAAAAAACTGGAACCGTTTTGGTGAGAATTTTCCAGAAAAAAGTTATTCGTGATGGGTTTCAAGCGTGATTGATTTCAAGCGTTATTCGTGATGGATTTCAAGTGTGATTTCCTTATATTTGGCTGAAAAACCACAAGTGCTCGTTAGAGCACTCCAGCATTTAAATGTGAATAAATCTTTTGTGTCTCGCACCATCGTTCGTTACCGTGATACTGGTAGCGTAGCTCGGCGTCAAGGAAGTGGACGGAAGAAAACAGCAACATCATCTAAAAGTAAAGAAGCGACTTGATCGAAACCCGCGTCGCAGTGGCCGAAAAATGACTCGTGTGCTGAACATATCGCAATATTCAATTCGGCAAATTTTGAAAAAAGAGCTCGGAGTAAAGCCATTGAAATTTCAAAAAGTGCTAGAACTTACACCGCAACAGAAACAAAATAGACTCAAAAGAGCTAAAGAGTTACTTCGCTTGGCCGAAAGTGGTGAACTGCAGAATTTGGTTTTCTCCGATGGGAAAGCATTCGTTGTCCAGCAGTTTGTAAACAATCAAAATGATCGTGTTTACTTGCCAAAGAGATCAGCTAAAAATGTGCACCTTCGGTGGGCCGCCATAACAGCCGATAGTCGTTCTCCGCTCGTATTAATCGACCGTGGCATCAGAATAAATGCCGAATATTATCGTGAAAATAGTCTGGAGGGTGTATTAAAGCCTTGGGTACTCAAACATTTTGGCCGCAGACCTTGGACATTCCAACAGGACTCAGCACGCGCCAGCCAAGCATGGTTACAAAATGAGGTTCCTCGCTTCATTTCCAGCGCCCAATGGCCAGCAAAATCTCCGGACACCAATCCGTTGATCTATTATGTCTGGAATATTTTGGAAAGCAAGGTTGGCACAAAAAATACCAAAGTGTCGATCACCTCACAGCAACATTCGGGCAGCCTGTGACGCTTTCATTGGCCGTTTGAAGGCCGTAATTCGTGCCAAAGGTGACCAATTCGAACAAATCTAAACTTATTCTACAATTTGTAGTTATTCCCAGTATTTTTTGCTTTCATTCAAGAAAATTTAAAAAAAATGTAAAAAGTATGGCGTTTGACTTTGTTGCAGTTTTTTTTTATCTCAACCTGTATATTATTTCTGCAGTACTTTTGGTATTGAAAATGGGCCACGTTGTTCCATAGCCCCCATATAATGGTACCTACCTATTTTCGATATTTTGGTGATTTAAGCGACATTATTCACTCGAAATGTTTCAAATTTGGTATTTGTAGTTCGTAAAGGATACTTCAGTCTATGACAGAAAATTGTCTGTGCAGGTTCACGTTTTTGGTATAGCCCCCGTATATCAGTACCTCCCTATATTCGGTATTTTGATGATTTTAGCTACATTATTCACCAGAATTGTTTCAAATTTGGTATTTAAAGTTCGTAATGGATTTCGTATGTAGGTTGACGTTTTCGTATATCCCCCATGTAAAGGTTTTTATTTAAGTGGTAGTTTTCGGAATTTTATTTGAAAATTTTCAAGTTCCTTCCAATGGTGGAGAGCATAGCTGCTTTTTTACTTGTTTCATATTGCATTAAGCAATGGCGTGTTGTTACAAAATGCTTGCTAGAAATTAGCCACAGGGGAAAATAACTCATTACAATGTAATATAAACAAACATAGTTTAGCATTACCAGTGGGTTGACCAATAATGAGATATTCTTACAAGGATTATACCATGTCGACTCTAAAACCGTAAACAAGCAAAAAAAAAAACGATATTAGAAGGCTTCAAGCATTTATTTATGTTCAACCATTTTTGTTATGTCATAAAGATTGCACCTTCCCTATGTGGAGGAGCTAACAGAAGAAGTGGTTGGATTTGCCACACTCGATCTATGTTTCAAACAAGTAAAAAAGCAGTAAGTTCGGCCGGGCCGAACTTTGAGTGCCCTCCACTATTTGGAACGAATTAGAAAATATTCAAAAACGCCTTGTGTGGAATTTCAGACAATTCCGTTGAAAAATGTGGATGAAATCATCAAAATACCGAATATCAGAGGGTACCGATATATGGGGGATATACGATATCGGGGACCTATACAGACAACTCTCTTTCAGGGAGTAAAGTACTCACAAAGAACTCCTTGTGTGGATTATCAGACAATTCCGTTGAAAAATGTGGGTAAAATCATCAAAATACCGATATCGTGGACCGTGGATATACGATATCGTGGACCTATATAGACAATTCTTTTAGAGGGGGTAAAATGCCTACAAGGGACTCCTTTTGTGGAATTTCAGACAATTTCATTGAAAAAAGTGGTTAAAATAATCAAAATACCAAATATCAGGGGTACCGATATATGGGGGATATACGATATCGGGGACCTATACAGACAACTCTCTTTCAGGGAGTAAAGTACTCACAAAGAACTCCTTGTGTGGATTATCAGACAATTCCGTTGAAAAATGTGACTAAAATCATCAAAATACCGAATATCGGGGGTACCGTTATATGGGGGCTATACGATATCGTGGACCGATATACCCCATCTTCGAACTTGACCTGCCTGCAGACAAAAGAGAGATCTGTGCAAAATTTTAGCTTCCTATCTTAATTCGTTTAAACTGTAGCGTGATTACAACAGACGTACAGATGGACGGACAGGGCTAAATCGTCTTAAAATTTTACGCTGATCAAGAATATATATACTTTGTTGGGTCTAAAATGATTATTTCGATGAGTTACAAACGGAATTACGAACTTAATATACCCTCCATACCTTTTTTGGTGGAGGGTATAAAAAATACAAAGAGTCGTACCTTTACTTGGATGAAATTGGATACTCCCTTCGTGATTTATTGTGCGCCCAACCACACAGACGGACGCAGAGATATCGCTTGATCCATTGCGAATTTTCTGATAAGTATTTGGACAAAAGAGATTTAGTGTCTACAAGGCATATTTTGGACTATCACATGATGATGATGCACAGCACAATTTTTGAAGTCAATTATGCAGAATAACACATTACATGGTAATGGAAATAAACAACCCAACAGATGGGGGACTTGCAGCCAAATGAAGAAAAGCCTAATATGAGTTGTCGATGCAGATTCTAGACTTTGAACAACCTTCTATACTCATATCAGAGGAAAGCTAGTTAAATACCAGTAATGGATAATACACAAACTGTTGTATTTAACAAATTGTATATTCTACGTATTTGGCAAATTTGAGTGACCGAAGAAAAACTTCTCATTTCTTGTGATATGTCCTTATACTAATGAGTCAGTAGGTGGCTTTCTAGGTAGGTATAGCTTCCATAAATTGATAAAATATATTTATTTATGATTTTTTATAATTGTATAAAATACATAAACACAATATGTTTTTTCTTAAATATTATGAAACACCTTAGTCCGCTAATAAGCTCTACAAGCAATAGCCCATCATTTCTTCTGTCCGACAAGATTTTAGGCAGCATTCATCATAAATGCCCACTCGGTGTCGTTGTTTACGAATTTTACCCAAATCGTTTATATGCTCGCCATACAATATATCTCCTAGCAAAGAGTTCGAATCGTCTTCTTCGAAAATATCTATAATATCAAAAAGTGGAAGTCAAAATGGAAGTCAAATAAATCAATTAATTCATTAATTAATCTAATTAGTTGTTATTTAGGCAGTAAGTAACTTACATTGTTTTCTAATCGACTTTTTGGTAAGATTCATTCCATTAAAGCCATCAACACAGACCGCATTCAAAATTTCTGTTAATCCCGAACCACATGCACGTATGTTTAAAGAATTTATCTCATGGACGACAGCGAAGAATACAATTAAAATAAAGACTTTCATGATTTCGAAAATAGCTTAGACTGTTTGAGGTCTTCGAGGTTCAAAACGATTTTATGTAATGTCTTCTGAAGACTGTAATAGTTGTTATTTATACTAAAGGTTTTATTTCGAGAGTCTGGAATCAAGGTAAAAAATAGTATGTAAATTAACAATCCCACATCTTTGTGGTGTTTTAGCAAAAACACATCCATATTGTGCATATCCTTGAGCTTATAGTCGTATGCGAATGCAAACAAGAAAGGCAAGAATAGAGTCAATAACAAACCAAATAGCTATGAATTTTAATTAATACTAAATATTTAAACTTATTTATAAAAAAACAAGTAAGCAAAGGCTAAAGTCGTGCGGGGCCGACCATGTGATACCCTACAACACTACAACATGTTAGAAGACCCCTTATATCCAGATCGATTTTGGAAGATTTCGCTTTTGAAATTATGTCAAGAGACATTGACCAGGGACATTTGCCCAATATTTAACCACTCCGTCATACTGTTAGTTGTTGTGGTCCATTTTCCATCCAAAATACTAGAATCCTTCCCTGTCCTTAACTCTCTTCTCAGGCGTGTTGATTGGCTTCATATGTGTGATCAGGATTTTTTTTCTGTTTTTGGTTCATTTGAACCCCTAAATATTTTGCGATCATCTTCAAAAGCAAGAGGCCCCTCTATATCTCTAAATTTAGACTCATCTATATGTTTTGCTTGTCTACGATATTTTGCTACATTTGTCAACGAAATCAGCATAAAAAGCCAGAAGTTCGCCTTTTGTGTATTTCATTCTATTTCCATTCTACTCGCTGTCCTAAACTCTAACTTTATGCGAGATTTCGTGTCCTTTGGTTTCTATTTGTGACCTTTATAATGGCTGTAAAATCAGGAACATTTTTAGT